CTTCAGAATTGCATTTGCATAATTATTAGCAGTACACAACTGACAAAACACATATTTTCATACATAATTTTGATGTATAATTATTTTGGAAATGCTTCTATTAATTTTATGGGTAGACTCTCCCCCCAACCCGCATTTAATTTATGTACTCATAGATGAATACTGAATACTACTTATCTCTAGAATAAGACAGGTTTCAGCATTTAATTTCATTCATCATTTTTGCTTTACATATAATACTCAATGAAAACTTTTGACACAAACCCTATATAATAAAGAGGTAATATGCAAATTGACCTTCACACCCCCACAAAATGGCTGCCTATGACCAGACCAGTAGGGGGGGGCAGTTGGGGGAGATCAGGTTGGCAGAGGGGAACAGTTGGGGGTGATCAGGCCAGCAAGGGGGCAGTAAGGGGTTATTAAGCTGGCAGGGAGAGGGCAGTTGGGGGCAACCTGGCCAGCAGCAAGGGACAGTTAGGGGTAACCAGGCCAGCAGCGGGGTTAGTTAGGGGCAATCAGCTGGGCACACAGAGGCAGTGAAAGGCAATCAAGCCAGCGGGGAGGGGGGGGGGGGCGGGAGGGGAAGCAGTTAGGGGCAACCAAGCAGGCAAGCAGTTGAATGATTAGGAGACAATGATCCAGGATTGTGAGAGGGATGTCCGACTGCCAGTTTAGGCCCAATCCCCAGGATCAGGTCTATCCCAGCAGTCAGACATCCTCCAAGGGATCCAGGATTGTAGAGGGTGCAGGCTGGGCTGAGGGGATCCCTTCCCCCACTCCCCGTTCATGAATTTCAAGCACCGAGCCTCTAGTAAGTAAATAGAAATGGAAAGTGTTTTGTTATAGCAGTGTCACTCAAATATTTTAATTCCTTCTGAATTATAAGCCAAAACACATATAGAAGTTATCAAAATTTATTTTTAATAAATTTAAACTATGATTAGGTCATCTTTCAATTTTGTTGAAAGCAAAGAATTGGAAACTGCCTAACCTGCAAAAGGATTTGTAGTCTAGTCATTAGCAATCATCTGTTTAACACCAACACACTGAACTGCAGTTTGTTTAATACCCTGGGTTTGTATATACCACCAAAGCAAATCACTGAAGTAAGATAAATAAAGTAGAATTTCAGATGATTGAAAGCTATTGCATTTTAACAAGTGGGGAAAGAGTGACTAGGAAAGGGGAGACAGGAAAAGAGGCCAAAGGGCATTTTTTCAGGCAGACCCATTTTAAAGAAAAGTACTTGTGGAAATTGAGTATCATGCAAAAGATTCCCTGAAAACTACTCTCGTTTCCATATTTCTTGAAAACTCTTTGTAAAAGATCACATACCTAAGTTTGAAACCATTTTATCAAGTATCTGGACACATTGAGAGAATGCCTTACTTTCGAAAAGACCTCAACAGAGAATTAAAGATTACCAAAACATATATCACTCTTCTTAACTACCTGGATTCACTCCACATGTAGATGTACGCTGGCTTGGGACAGCTACAGCAAGAGTTAAGATGAAACAGATGACAAAATGGTCATAATAAACAGCAGAGGGAAATGTGGGTGATCTTTAAGAGCCTACAAGTTTTGCTATTATGATTTTGCCAGCACCTCTCACCTTATTTTAGTTGATGGAATTCTTATAATCTCCTCAAGGTTTAAACTGACTCTGGGTCAGAAAGACCAGAAGGTCCTCATTCTGTAAATTTGTTGCCACAACCAAAGCTGGGGGAGGTGAAGACAGAGAAGCCTTTCCTCACCACCCTCTCCCTTTAATATGAAAATAATTGCTTCTACGCTGGGAGACCTGGCTTAATTAGACTAATCTGATTTTCTAGTGGTAAAGCTAGCATTAAAATGCTATTGCTCTGAGATCTCTAATTATAGAGCAATCATGCTTTTTCTTAACGGATACTAAATTCAAATGCTATAATGTTGGATGAGGTCATTGTGAATAGGTCTATTTTGAGGTACCACATGAATTTTAGTTTATGCAGTGACAAAAAGTTTACTTCAGTGGAAAAAAAAAAAGAATTGCTACTACAACTAATCTAAACACATAAGAATCCACAAGTTACTTGTATTTCCCATTATGATCCATGACCATAATACCTATTCTTCCATCCCAGACTCTTCAAACTCAACCCCTTCATGCCCTCTCCTCTTAGCTACCCCCTTCTTCATTTTCTTTCCTGCATCATCTGAATGTGATGTTCAACCTTTTGATGGATACTCTTATCAAAACTCTCAGCCCTCTTACTCTCTTAAACTTCTGCCTATCCATTCTGCCAAGATGCAGCTTAGAGTCAGACAACCCATCTGTTCTCTCTACTACTGCTTCTAGTTTTGCCAAGCACTGCTGGAGAAATTGTATAACTGCTGATTCATGCCATGGCAAATCTGCAGTTCCCAAACTCACCTTGACCTTTAACACTACTTGGCAATCCTTTTGCTCTTGTTTGGTTGTCGTCCTTTGCCACCAATAGTTAAGGTGCTATTCCAAACCTCAGGTCTTTCAAAGTTTCTTACTATGCTATTGTAATTATGACCTGCCACTTTTCTTCAGGAAAAATTGGTGTTCAACTTCACTTCTTTCTACTTGTAATGGACAACTATAGCTTCACCCTCCCTACTTGTGTCCCAGACTTAATGTAGTGTATCAATCATCCCCTTTTAATAATTTTTTAAAATATCTTAAAGTCTGTATATATTATCAAAAGTCACTCTTTTTGTAAGTCATATTCTAGATTGAAAAAGTGGCCATTAGAATGTTAGAAAATAAAAGGAGCTGATTGGCTACAGAACAGAGCACATCAGAATAGCAAGTGTTCTTCCACTTTCAATCATTCATAAGCAAGGACAGAAAGGAAGGTGAGTTGGTGTGCTGCCTGCCTATTAAATGTTTTAAAATTCTAGCATATTTCTGCCAACCAAATGTCACAGCATGAAATTTAAAGAGGTCACACTTTAGTGATCAACGTCATCTTTTGTCCTCTACTGTTTGCTACCACGCCACATCTACAGTCTATAAAGCTAATAATAATAATAATTAGTCCACTTAGTTCCTTCTTTTACTGTATGGAATTGGCTTACCCTTATTTGATCCAAACTTTTCATAGGAACTCCTAGGGTAACCAAGTGAATTATATTAGGCTTTACCTGATATGGCTGTTCTAATTTAATGTCATTTTACTCTAGCTATCATACAAAACTTACAAGTGACATATATATGCTTTAGAAAAAGTATTTATAGAGATTGCCTAATGAGAAGTGTTTATGTAAAAGATACTTAGGAGAGATATATGTATCACATATAACCAGGAGCAGATCCAGGTTTTGTGTGACCCTGAAGTGTATAAAATTTGGAGAGTTTTCTCTTTCCAAAAAAGAACACAAAATTATGAATTCAAAATGAGATAAAGAACCTTTAGTAGAGGTCTATTAAAATGAAGGGCTCTAAAGCTTAAGCTTTGTTAGTTTCATATAAATCAGCTTTTTTTTGTATTTGACCCAAATAAACTCAAAATGCACTAAAATATAAACATCTAACATGAACTAGAAACTTAACATAATACTACATTTTATTCTCATAATAAACATTTTTATTTACCATTCTTTTTCATTGAAGTGGTAACTGAGATTCAGAGAGGTTAGTAACTTACAGCTCAGGGCTCAGAGTGAAATGAGATTCAGACCAAGACCTGGCAAACTAAAACTTGTGATATTTTAAATAAATAATTATATATGTTTTTATTGACTTCAGATAGAGGAAGGAAGAGGGAGAAAGGAATAGAAATATCCATGATAATTGATCAGTTGCCTTCTGCACACCCCCTTCTGGGGATAGAGCCCGAAACCTGAGCTTGTGCCCTGAGCGGGAATCAAATGGTAACCTCCTGGCTCATGGATCCAATCTTGTGTTATTTTTACTGCAATACTCTGCTTCTAATGTTTCCCGAAAGACAAAGGATTTAAGTGAATTTGAAGACTGCAAATGCTTGGAAATGTTCAGTTAATACTTGAAAATGACATAACCTAATTCACATTTGAAAACATCACTAAAATTGCTGTCCTAAAACTGTGTTTAAAGGGCATAAAGAAACAAATATATAACTTTTTTGGTTATCTTCTGCCCATTAAGTGACATAAATGAAGACAGAAAATCTTAGGGTCTATGAGAAATGTGCTTCTGATAAGGAGAGGAAAATGGGGGCAGAATCAGAATCTAGAGGTAAGTCTAGAATTACAGCCTCTCAGGAAAAAGCCTAGCTAAGTAAGGACATACTGACAGTATGGATTTTTCACAAATTTTATCTTCTTGTTACGTGTCCAATATTAATCCACCTTCCCATTGAGATATTTCAAGTTTTAAAAATAGGGAAATAGTTTTATTTGTCAAATGTATAACACTACTCAATATTATATCTGTACCTTATATTTGCCAGTTTGGCCTCTATTTTTAGAAAATGTCTCTTAGAGGTAGCCTCTCTTCCTCCTAGGACCACCCAGAAGGTAGATAGATGCTACTATGTCTTAATCTTTTCTTCACCCACAGAATCCAGGACCATTCCCTACAGATAGCAGGGATTCCATGGAGGTTAATTGCCATAGAAGATGGTGTTGATGAGTTATTTTTGATAGGCTGCCATTTCCTACCACATTAGGAATTCCATAGTATAGATGCTTTATGACTCTATATGATTTAATCAAAGACTTCAGAATAAAACTTTTGGCATTAGCTTAAGCTAAGGCAAGAACTTATTAGATGTAGTTAATAATATTTTTAGTCAATAAACTGTCATTGATGTTGGAGTTACTTAAAAGACCTGTTGATTCTGTGGTCTTGGGACCATTGTGACCTCAAGCTGCAGCTAAAATCAGTCCAATGCAACAGGAGTTTCGAGAACAGCAGCACAAAAACAATGACAACTGAATGGAACAGGAAGGCACGTATTTTCAAGAAGACCTCTTTATTCTTAAAGTAGAAGTTTCCTTTCAAGATGACAAGTAGTTCAGACTCTCCAGGTTCTCACTTGCCCCCCAAAACAAGGTGAGTCTTTGACAGAAGATGCTAAGTGATAATTATTTAGGAGGGAAAAGAGAGTATTACTAACACAGACTAAAGGCAGATACTATGGTGTCTCTTCCCACAGAAGTTCTAACATAGACTGCAACTTCTTGAAGGAATTGAATGAGGACTTAAAACTAAGAAAACTGGAACTTCTAGAGCTGCTAACACCTCTTGAAGATAACAACAACCCCTTAATCCAAAAGTTAATGTCTAACTTGGAGGAAAAACAAAGAAGGTAATGGCTCCCTACTCAGGATTTCCTAAAGGTAGAAAGCCTGGCTAAGGTTAATCCATAAGATTAGCAATGATTACTTATATGTTAAAAAAGGTTGACATTCAGCTAAAGTAGGTAAAGAATTTGTAACCACAAAATCAGAATGGCAAGGAATCCTTTTTCTCTTTTAGTAAAGTTAAATATGACTCAACTCTCATCTCATGGAGTTACAGTTATTACTCTTTTCCCTAGTGAATCTACCCAAGAAAAGATAGGGCCTTTAATATCTTCAGTTTATTATGGTCATACTAATAGCTCCTTATTCGTGTTTGTGGAATCACTTTAGGATAGATGACTCTGCTCTTCCCATGCTAAGCAGTAGAATAGCAATCTTTTTTTTTTTTTTTTTTCACATATTAGACAGTTGAGGTCTTAATGCTTCACCAACATAACTCACTGTTCTTGGGATCCACCAACTCTCTATTTTCTGTCTAGTCTTGGACAATATCACCTTAATGAATTTACCTTCATTCTTGGGAGCTTGGAATTTTGGAGAATAAATGCCAGGCAGAAAGTTATGGTAAAGCAAACCCAGAAACTCGGGTTTCTCTTAGGGAAAGAAAAAAACAAAGTCTTTATTCTCTGCTTATAATTAGAGAGGAAAAAGTACAACAATATAAACATTATTAATGCCATTAAAGGATACCTACTCTCACAAAGAGTAGGTATTGACTCAGATTTTATTGGAAACTTCTTCATAGCTTGATTCTCTGGGGACTACCATAAGTATATAAGTGGTTTCCCCAACTAACTCAAATGTCTTCATATAAAGAAACGAGGTAGAGGAAGGACAGAGACAGGGTAGGGAATAATTCTTGGATTTATCCTGAAGACAACAGGTTCTTTGACTTCCTTTCCAGGAGCAAAAGTTCCCCTTCTCCTCCAAAGGTCATATATTAGACATTCTTCTGATATGGTGGAAAAGAGCCTCATTGGCTGTTGAAGACCTACGTTTTGAGCATTATAGAGCACATAATTTATTACAGAGCACACAGCTAAGGTAAATGTCAACTAGGAATGGAGTCATCCTACTAAGACTTGCTATATCCAGAAGGACTTTCATAGCTCCCATGATTTCAGCCCCCATCTCATTCTCATGGTAGAGTACTTTCTGACTGGTTGCAAAATATTAATATTACTTGTTAGGAAGTATTATGTTTATGATGTCTCTCTCCTCCTTCTAGTCTGCAGATTATGAGACAGATCATGGCAGGGAAGGGGAGTGAAGAATCCTCATCCCTGGAGATCATTCAGGAAGCAGAGGACATGAAGCAGAATCTAGTAAGAGGTTGATGGGCACTCCAGGGAATGGCCTCCTGACCAGAGATCAATTCCATTGCTGTGGAAGGAAAGACAGAGGGTTCATCTCTAGTATCTGATGCTCTACATTTATACATCTATGATCTAGAAAGTCCAGGATGACCCAAAGGAGTCAGATAAAATGTTGGCGAAAACAAGGACTAATAGCTAGCAAATATTCTATTGCTTTAACTTTCTAAAAACTTCTTATCTAGTGATCAATAAATACAAACATATTAACCCTTCAGTTTCAGAAAAGATAGAAAATTCCTACCAAAATAAAATAAAATAAAATAAAATAGTTTGTTCTGAAAGTTTTATAAGATTTTTTTAAATCAACAATGTAAAGAATCTTAAAAATTAGAAATTAGTGTGTTAAGCCCCAAAGAAATTTCCATATGATCATATGTCTTAAGTATTATCAGTGTGAGGAACCCATTTCTATTAATATTATACCACAATAATCATAATTAAAGTTATTCAAAAATTTTATTATTTTTTTTATCATAATAATTATCAAAGTCATCCTTCATGTTCCTGGATTTGGGGCTAGGCTCATTTGTTGTTTTCCTCATTTGTGGCTGACTATGTCCTTGCATTCCTTTCCCCTTATTAATAATTTTTTTGAATTTCACTTTAATGATGAAACAGACACATGTTTCTGTTTGTTTGGTTTCCCCTCTCCTTCCCCCAAAACAGGAAAGGAAAAACAAGATGCTTTGGAAAGAAATGGAGATGCTATGGAACAAGGTGTGCCTCTAAGTATCTCTTGAAAGTATTGTCATACAGATCATAATGCAAATACACTTCCCTTCAGACCATAATGCAAATACACTCCCCTTCCTCTGGTCCATATCCTCATTTTTTTCACTGTCCCTGCTTCTACTCATGCCTCATCCTAATTCATTCTTTGCATAGCAGCCAAAGTGATGTTTTTAAAATAGTCAAATCATATCACTCTTCTTATGAAAACCCTTCACAGATACCTCTTATTGTGGTTATCTGGCTCTGGTCTGCCTCTTTAGTCTCCTCTCACAGAAGTCCTTCCCTCCCTCATGTGGTTTCTCAAACATGCTAAGACTCTTCCTATCTCAAGGCTTTTGTTCTTGTTTTAATCTTTGCTGATAATGGTATTTCCTTATGGTTGGATCATTCTCAACCTTCAGGTCTCTGTTTAAATATCACCTTCTCAGAGAGGCCCTCTTTGTTTACTTTATCTAAAATATGGCAACCCCCCCCCCCCTACAATCTATTGTGCAACCCTGTTCATGTCTTTCATAACACTTTTTATGACATAAGCTTATAAGTATTACTATTTTATTATTATCATTATTTTACTTGTTTCTTGTCTCTTTGCTCTTGGAATAAGAAGAGCTCCTCCAGTCATCTCTGAAGGCCCAACACATACCTCAATGCTTGGAACAATAGATAATCAATAAATTTAAATGGATTAAATGAATGAATACCTAATTCTAATTCCCTATAATTTTGCAGCAATCATTGCATTGTTTAAGATAACAATAGGAAGGCCTTTTGTTGGGAAACCAGACGGGGTAGAAATTCTTTCATGGACTAAGTCCTTGCTATCTGAGTGCTTTTCCACAGGCTATGTGACTAGATAGTGTCTTGTGATAAAAACAGGTTTGTCATGTGATTTCTGATTGCCTTTTTTGTTTCTTTATTTTTTATTAATCCTCACCTGAGGATATTTTCCCTTTGCTTTGTAGAGAGATTGGAAGGGATGGGGAGAAACAGAGAGAAAGAAACATTAATGTGATAGAGACAAACTGATTGGTTGCTTCCCACACCCAAACAGGGCCAGGGATCGAGCCTGCAACCAATGTATGTGCCCTTGACCAGAAGTGAACCCAGGACCCTTTAGTTTGAGGGCTGACACTCTGTCTACTGAGCCAAATCAACTAGGGCTCTGACTGATTTTTTAATCTCACCTTTCCACAAATAATCAGGATACCATGAAGCCTTGCACCTTATACTGAGATCTCCTACTTCTCAGTGGCAACTACAAATCAGTTCTATGAATTGTGAGAGGTTTTAGTTCCTGAGTTCTTGAGTCTTTGTGACAGGAAATATCCTCTATCCAAATCCAGGTTCTCCAGAGTTCCAATGAGACTTTTTTAAAGGATGCCCAAATGACTTAGATTGTGATTGGCTTTCCTTACCCATACTTGTAGACAGTGAAAATGGAGAGAGAAGAGCAGCCTGCCTAGTGGTTAAGAACCCAGGCTTCAGAATCTGATAAATCTGGTTCAGATTCCAGCTCTGTACTTTCCTAGCTGTGTGATACCAAAACTTAATTAATTAATTAATTAATTAAATTTAATTTTAAAAAATAAAATAACTTCTCCAAGTCTCAGTTTTTTCATCTGTAAAATGAAAATAAAAATAGTCCTGTAAGGATTGAATAAGAATATTTTTAATGTCATAGAGTAGTGTAAGTAAATAAGTAGCTTATAATTAGTGATTGGTATATAATAAAGTTTAATTAATAGTTACTATTATTATTATATTATTATAATATACACTCAAGGGACGAAATGAAAGGGCTTGTTCCATTCTGAACCCCCTTTGGTTATTCACTTTTCATTTGGGGCCTAAGAGATTGCTGACTGGCAGGAACCAAAAGCCTTAACCCTTGTTGGATTTCCACTTCCCTTACTCATTCCTGCTAATTAAAGTTTTTCCAATTTGTCTCTCTGCAGGCATTCAACACAGAAGAATTCAGTGATCAACAGAAAGCATCACAGATAAAAAACAAAGCAAACTTGCAGGATGGAAAGGCAAGTAGACTTCTTGGTATTTTATTTTATTTTATTTTATTTTATTTTATTTTATTTTTAATATATTTTATTGATTTTTCACAGAGAGGAAGAGAGAGGGATAGAGAGTCAGAAACATCGATGAGAGAGAATCATCGATCAGCTGCCTCTTGCACACTCTCCATCAGGGATGTGCCCGCAACCGACGTATATGCCCTTGCCCGGAATCGAACCCGGGACCTTTCAGTCCGCAGGCCGACGCTCTATCCACTGAGCCAAACCGGTCCCGGCCTTCTTGGTATTTTATACCACACAACTGGAAACAGCAGTTGACAATCAGGATTATTTTGGGTAGGCAGATATGTAAGATCTGGGCCTTTAGGATAGATTGGACTCATTGTCTGCTAAGACATTGTACTTCTTTTCTGGGCTCTCCTATTTTTTTTATTTTATTTTTTTTTAGCTCTCTTTTTCCACCCAGGCTCCTGAAACCCCCTCATCACCTCAGAAGATCAAGAATGAATTGGAAATAACAAATGCAGAGGAAGTGAAGGAGATAAGGAAGGTAGTACACATTTTCTGAATGGCACTGGCTTTCAGAGCTGCCAGAGTAGATATCATTAATGTAGCAGTAATATGCCTAAACTATAAAGTGCTCCTGAATTGATGCAAAAATTTATAGAAGATCTGGTTCCCTTTTGACGTTATATTTGAGTCAGAGTGACACTGCAAGTTTCTGGGAAATCATGTTGGTGAGGGCAAAGTGGGAGAAGCTGTGCCAACAATGACAGTTTCACAATAGCTATGTGACATCAAAACACCTGTTAATTTGTTTTTGAACATTTATTTGGTATTATGCTGGTATCTAATCTTCTCTCAGCCAACTCATTCATAGAAACATAGCCTGTTCACTTAGATTTTTAACTTTTGGAGAGTGAATTGTATGGTGAGACCAATTAAAAGGACTGTGCAGTTGAAGCCAATGTATTAGTGAATCTATATCACCATAATTTTACTCTAAAGTCTTTGTGGCATATTAAGAAAACTGATTTCTGATCTCAATTTACTTTGTCACCCAGAGGCTCTTTCTTCCACCAGGAAAAGCAACAGAGGAAAATAGAATGGGTGAGGTACCAGGAACAAGCCAACAACCTTCAGGTATTAATTACTTCCAAGACTAGACTCTGGGTACAATTTCATTCATACAATAAATATAAAGGCTTTTCGCTTCATAATGTTAAGCCTGATCCCTTTATCTCAATTACCAATTGTCCTGCTAAAAGAAATGAATGTTTCATGGGGAGACCTCTGGAGAGAACTGTCTCCAGCTTCACCTTCAGTAAGCTGGGGATAAATAGTATTTTTTCTTATGGTCTTGATTTTATTCTATTTGAAACAGGGGGAAAAAAATCACAAATACTTTCTTAGTTTAAAAAAAAACTAAGCATGATCGGATCATTTTTAAACTTCCGAGTAAAAAGGATTCAGGTAATAGTGGTTTTAGAGAAGCCAGTACTATACGAATAGTTTTGAAAAATGTTCTCTTTGTAGAATGACTTTAATGGAAAAGTGATTGAGCTCAGAATTGAAGCCTTGAAGAACTACCAGAAGGCCAATGATCTGAAATTATCACTATACTTACAGCAGAATTTTGAGCCAAAGCAAGCATTTTTATAAATCTTCCTGGGCCCCACAAAGGTAGGCAAACTTTCATTGATACACAGTTTGAGGTTTTGTTTTGTTTTACATTAGAGATCCCATTACTTGTAGAGTGATCAACATAATGTCTGGCACATAATTAAATATTAATAATGTTATAATATATTTTTATCACTATTATCATCATCATCATTATTATTTATTATTATTCAGAAGCTCTCACACCAAGGTAAGGATTTCTCTGAAGGAAGTGAAATTTTCTTTTGTAAGAACTAATATACTTAGCATATGTATTTAATACATAGTTGGCATTTGATAAACTAGCCATTTCCTCCTCATCCCCCACCCGGCTCCTAGAAATTAAAGTAGCTTTATCTCATGAACCTAGTTGGAATAGACTCTGCTACTTCAAAACAGAGGGCCAAGAAGATAGACATCTGACAATGGCTGTGAGTTTCACCAATTCAGATATTCCTCTGGGAGTTTCAGTATCCCTCCACCTCCCAAAGAATTTATGGCATCATTAGAGCAAATCATACCAAAAGAAAGAGAATAAAGGAATGTTTTCAGATAGGCAGGAGAAAAGAGTTCTTAAATTTTCAGGGATCTAAGAATCTGAACTCTGTATTTTAAAAGACACATAGAATGAGAAATCATAGCTAAGGGATGATAATGTTTTATCAGTATCAGTAACATGTATCTCTAATTTCTTTTCAATCATAGTCTATAAAGGGCTTAAACAGTTTACAATATCACACACAGGACTTAGGATGAAATAAATATATAGGACAAAATGACTATTAAATCAACACAAAGGGAAAATAATTCGAAGCCAGGTGAATACATGAAAATGCATAACGGAAGTACTACCCGTGTTTTCCAGAAAATAAGACATCCTCCGAAAATAAGACCTAGCGCATGGAAAGATAAGACATCCCCTGAAAATAAGACCTAGCACAACTAAGACACTGTCTTATTTTCGGGGAAACATGGTATATAGTAGGTAGAGGCAGGCTTCAAATATGATTCTGAATTTTTCAGAAAAAGAAACATTGATTTATGGTGTCCACAAAATAAGAAATCACCAATTGATCAGAACAATAGCTTTTATTGGTACTGAGACCAGGAGAAATTTCTTTCCAAGTCCTTATCATGGGGACAGGATACAATGTGTATTATAGTAGCTAATGTTCTCAATAATTACTCTACAATGAATTCACAATCTAAATTTCCTAGACTATTTCTTACCTGTTCCTTGGCACAATCTGATAAGAAATTATTAATTTGAAGTTAAAAAAAATGATGAATCAGCTCAAGATGCTTAGTCTGACTTGATCCTTACACAAAGTTTAGAAAATCTAGAAGACTGGATATCCTTCAGCCAGTGTTCCTTTCATATTTGTTTTTTAACTGTTGATTTTTATAAGAATTGGATACAGAAAGCTTGAGGCTTTCTTTTCCAATAAGAACCTGGAATATGACCAAAACTAGTATAAAGTCATTAAGATACTAATGAAAATGATAGGATAAAAAAGAGGGTTCTGCGGGGAACAGATCCTTCTTTTACTTAATTTAAAATTATCTGAAGGTCATCTTGAGGGATCCATGGAGTAAGGGGTCAAAATTCTTTTAGTTATAGATTCAAATCAAGCCAAAATTAGTAATAAGTGAAATATTCCATTCAACTTCGTCACCTCAAACTCTGAGTCTTTGAGCTGTGAACTAGGACAACCTTCAGATCAATATCCTTTTTGTCATCTCTTCTCCTATGCTTCTGGAGAATTAAGTGACAGGACACCAAACTGTTTTGTTATAGCAAATGACTGTAGCCACAGGCATGAGTGACCCATTGCTACTGTGTTTTATTGATTATGCATTCATTGAGCATGGATTATAGGCCAATTTAATTTTCTCATACACACATATGGGTCTGAAATCTAAATCTTAGAGTTTGGTTATGTTGACCTATTTATAACCTTGTGTTTGATTTTTGCAAAGTAAACCAAAGAAACATTAGTTTCCTTTATAGAGGAATTCTTAAAGTAATTATCTTAATATTATTACCTACAATAATATAATAGGGAAGTGGTTTGGTGGTGCTCAGTGTTTCCCAATTTCTATGTCCCTAGGATTATTGTTTATTCAATATTTTCTACTTAGATTGAGTTTAGTTTCTTAAACACATTACTTGAAAGTAAAATTTATATTACTATTTTAAATGAAATCCAGTGTAGTTTTTCATAATAGAATGTAAATATAATAGTAAGTATACAGAAATCAAAATTTTAATATTCTAACAAGATATTGAAGGCTGAGGCATGTTTTATTTTTATTAAGAAATAAAATTAGCAAGATGTAAAGAGTTTTTTTTTTTAAAACATGTTTTTATTTAAAGAGGAAAGGATAGGGAGAGATAGAAACATCAATAATGAGAATCACTTATCAGCTGCCTCCTGCACGAGATCAAGCTTGCGACCCTGTAATGTGCCATGACCAGGAATCGAACCGTGACCTCCTGGTTCATAGGTCAACACTCATCCACTGAGCCACACTGGCCAAGCAAGATGTAGAGTTTCTTTTAAAAAAAAAAAAAAAAAAACAGCAACAAATAGAAACTTTCTCCTTGATGTCATCAAAGTTGAGAGAATTAAAAAAGTAAAGTTTTCCCACTGTAACTAATATGTTTAGTACCTCCTAGATTTATTTCAGTTGTTACCTAAAATCATCTCATTGTCAAATTTTAGGAAATAGTAATTTAGTGTAAAAAGCACTATGTTTAGAATCATGTATAAATTGAAGGCCTTACTCTGAGGCTAATCAGTTACATAACTTGGGCAGATCACTTAGTTTCAGTTTTTTCTTTACCTAAAATAACTATAAAATATTATAGAGCATGTTGAAATCTTATGGTGGGGTGTGGTTTTTTTTAATCCTCACTCAAGGATATGTTTATCGATTTTAGAGAGAGGGGGAGAAGGAGAGAGAGAGAGAGAGAGAGAGAGAGAGAGAGAGAGAGAGAGAGAGAGAAACATTAATTGGTTGCCTCCTATATGTATCTTGCCAGGAATCAAGCCTGCAACCTAGGTATGTGCCCTGATCAAGAATCAAACTCAAGAACTTTTGGTGTACGGGACTATGCTCCAACCAAATGAGCCACCAGGGTGAAAACATGGTTTTGTAAAATCCTCACAATGACTCTGGGGTAGTGATTATAGAACAAGAATCTAGTTCAAAGAAGTCAGGCTTCTGACTCCATATCCAAAGTTTATCTCCTAGAAAATGCTATACAAAGGAAGTATGAAAGCATGTGATTTCTATGACTCTTCCATTTCTACAGGCTATGACTAGAATTCAAACTTATTATTGATTTATAGTATAATCTTCTGAATAAGGAATCATACTTCCTAAGATTAATTTGTTCAGTAAAACAGGTTGACAGATTTGTAATTCTGAATTTAGCCCAGTAGGTGGCACCCATCACATCTAGGCTTCTCGTCCACAAGTCATGGTAATTTAGGAAATGCTGTGGGAGCGACTGGCCTTCTATTACCCTTGAGAAAATGTATCAAATGAAACACACACACACACACACACACCATAATGGTGTTTTCTGTCATGCTCTGTGGTACTGAGGTGTATTACTGGCTGCCTTGATTAGACTGTATTAAACTTGGAATTCTGCTTTACAATTCTTCTCTACTATTATTTTTCTACTCCCTGCATTCTAAAAAATAGTCACTGCCCACTTTCTCCACAATCCCTATCTATCACTGTTTCTTTTTACCATTGATAAATCAGGCAATTGGGGCACTGACTTAAAAATCAATTAGGCAATTGCACAAGGTGTGGTGATTTTTTGAAGGTTAAGGACTTAATAGTGTTCCTGAATCATTTTTCTTTTCTTCTAGATTCAAAAGAATTGAATTTCACAAATCTTTCTTAAGGAAGGGGTGGAATGTAATTTTGGACCCACCTCCCTGTAAATCAAGGTACAGGACCTATTGTTCAAGGCATTTCCAACTAGAGAGAGGGCTTCTCTCCCTGTTCTTGCCAAGAATCCCTCAACTGTCCTGTGTTCTGGTTGGCTGAGTCCCAGTGATATGACCTATTTGGTTGGCAAACTTTAATCCTATATTAATATTACTGACTTGGTTACACTTCAAGCAATCACTACTTTAAATTCCCTTGAGGCCAAGGTTGTTGTATTAATCTTGACAGTCTTATCTGTTTAGCATACTGCATCACCTAGTCTTATAGAAGAGAAACACATTTTATACCTAGGTAACGTCTTTCCTTTTAGTCTTTCCAGAGATGGAGCACATTTGGAGGAATTTGCTTTCCCACCAGAGTGAAATTACAATTTGACTTAGGGTATATAGCAGCCTTTCCTTGCCTTCATTAGAGTTGAGAGAGCAGTTCTTGGCCTTTGTCACCTATCTTAAGAGAACACAGGCATGAAGCAATCTGTAAATTCAGCTGAATTTCCCATTATGACTGCTATTGTTTAAGGAAGAGGTTTATCTTTAGTAATAATAGAAGTGGTGATAAGACATTTGATTCTGACAGCCTTGGTTTTCTCTCCTCTGCCCTCATCCTCCCCAAACTCTTAGCATTTTCTTGAATTCTTTTGAGTAGCTGAAGGTTAGATGGGAATATTTTGCTACATTTATAAATTCAGAGGAAAGTACAGTGAGGTGGGAAATGAATACTCTTGAGACCTTATTTATTCTATAATTCCCTCTGTTCTAAAAGAAAGCAAGTCATTCTTCTCAGTTTTACCCTTTACTTCACTTTAGTATTACTCTTCCTGATGGCTGAAATACACTCCAGCAGGTGCTGCTGAAAGGAAAATAAGCTAAAATGCTGAAAGGCAGGATGGAAACCACAGCTAGCTTAAATACGGGTCCTTGATGAACAGTATTGCTCTCAACACAGGCCTTTCTAAGCTTTGAGACAACTCGATGTCAGAACTAGGTTTATGGTATTAGTAGGTTATGAAGTTAATTTCTAAACTAGAT